GCCCCATCTCCACCAGACTTGCCGACGCTAACCTCATCCTCTCAACTTGTAGCCATTTCAACTGCTTAATTGGATACTCTATGCATACTCTGACAGCATGCTCATATAATCTTGCTTCCTTCATCTGAATCCATTACAACGCTTCGGTCGTACAATATTGCCCAATCGCTGATGCTCTATGCATGCTTTGTATCAGCAATGAGCCGTTAATAATACCACGACAAAAAAGTTTGCCTTAATTCGTTGCATGATTTATGCATTAATTTTATTAACTTTTAGAAATGTCTATTTACTAAGTTTCGTCCAATCTTTTTATGTTAGTACTTAGCTCTACTAGTTAGAGTAGGTATTGGTTTGCCTTGGCGAATAGTCTTTTTCATTAGAGGTCGATTACAATAAGCTCGATGTCTTATTGTTTCCCCATGAGTACAGCTACTATCAATTTACTACTTGCCCACTGTGTCTTGGTAATTATACAAACAGTTTTTCCACTTTCTTCTAAAGTTTTGCTTGGTTTTATTAGGGCTTTCCTTTATTTATACACTCGCTAAACTGTGCCAGGTTTCTCTGTTCTATTTTTTTATTTTCATCATAAGAACTCCTTTTTGCCTCTTGTTTTTTAATCACTTACGCTCGACTTTAATAGAAATGCTAAATTACCTTTTTATATTTTTACTTTTCCATGTTATCTAAACGCTGGCTTATCGTATACTTTGCACTTGCATATTTGTTTGTCATATTCTATTCTGATCGATCTCTCGCTGGTCGTCTTATTTCACGCGATTGCTTCACACATTTTAAGAAGCTGCCAGCGGCCTCGTTTTCGGACCTCACTTACCACCGGTGGGCAAGCACCTTGGCAAGGTTCACTCTACTATTGGATCCGGATCTGGTAATCTTCCCCTTCTCATTATGGGGAAGGCAAGGGGTAATAAAACGATGTCTGGCTCCAGCAAGTCATCTGATGGTGGTCGCAATGGCGAGTTGACTTCTGGCGTAGAACCAGCCTGCTTTCAAACGGATAGATCCGAGGCTTCTTTGACGTCTAATATGTCAAAGACAGTTGGAGAAGAGGTGAGCGAGTTTAGGCATAATACAGCCCAGTCACAAGCAGAAATAATTAATTCTGCTGGTGACTGTGCTGATGATGAAGAGGATGATGCGATGGATACCGATCCACCCTCAGCTGATGACTCAAGTTTGACAGGGCCGAATTCAACCCTTACGGACATTCCCTTGCCAAAGGAAGGCAAACTTTCATCGGCAAACAAGAAACGTGCACAGCCAGTTAAAGCTTCCACAGCTTCGGCCTCCTTAGCAGTTTCTTCGGCTTCAGCACCGTTGAAATACATCGGTCCCCAGGTAAATAATTTCGCTCTAGTCCTTTATTGCTTCATGATGAAATGTATAGGTACGATTTATTATTCTCTATGTATATTTATTTTCTTATTAAAGTAGGGTTTCTCCCGATTAAAAAAAATCGACATCTAAATAACAAACAAACTTAGCTATCTACTTAAGTAATAACAATTAAGTAGACGACGAAAAAGACGAAATACTTTTCGGTCACTGGATTCAGCTGCCTTCAATTCGTAATATAGTTTTATCCTTTACCATATCACCTTAAAAAGGCCCCTTGAAAGACATTTAAAAATTAATCTCTAATACATTTACAGCAGCTGAATTATCTTATGCTTATGTGGACCTTTTGATTGCGTTTGCCAAGTTAACTGATCTGCTTGTCATCAATAATTACTAGTTTCACTGATCGTATTCCTCAGTCAAGGAGATTATATGATTAGATTTCGGACTGAACAGCATGATAAAATAAATGTTCTATAACTATACTCATATCTTTGGTTTCTGAGGTTTTTATCTCTGCTATTCGCTTACCAAACAGCTCTTTTATAAAATTACTTGCCACTCTTTCGTAAGGTTAAGTTTTATGCCGGTTCATTTTAAACTACTGATATTCATAGTGAAGCAGTTTAATTATGAAATAGAGGAGCCAATTTATATTTAGCTTTTTTATTTTTTAGGTTACTCCAGAAATCGCTAAGAAATTCGGATTACAGTTCTCGAAAGAAGAAACTCCTACTGGAAGCAAAAGAAAGATTAATTCTCTTTCTGCTATTCAAGCAAAAAGAGTAGCTAATCCAACTGTTTTTGATGAGGTTAAGCCTCCAGATTTTATCATTCCTCCTGATAAAGTTGAAGAATATAAAGGTGATTCTAAATAAATTTAAAAATGACGAAGTCTACATTTTCGTGATCTTTATTTACACTTGTAACTGCTTCCCATTAAATTTAAAATGTCGGTATTTATGTATAATTTTTTCGATGTTTTAAGCCGTAACTGTTCATTTCGTATTTGCCAAAGGTTTTATTCTAGGGATCGAGTTTTTTTTTAAGACTAAGGTTGATTGTCACTGATTCGTTACCACTACTTTTTCATATATAGTCCTCTAAGTTTTTCTTGACTCTTGCTTTGCTGGTTTTTATCACATTATAGACGTGAACTCAGAACGTGTTCAATGAGGTAAGAGTCTAGAGTCAAGAAAAATTTTAAATCTTAAAATGTATCATATCAAGCATATTTATCTTGGCCAAGAATAGTATAACTTCGTACTTTGATCAAACGAGCATTTTAACTTAAATCTACTCGAACATCTCAGATTTCCTAATCGATAAAATGTTTAAATAACTTTCACGGCATTTCTATCGTGTAAAAATGTTTGTAGATTTTGATTCCTTGACTGTGATGTTTGCTAATTGGTTGCCACCATTGCTGGTCTGATATCGCCCTTATGAGTCGTCTCAAAATAATGACTTAGATCTTCCCATTAACTTTACACAATTTAACTTTATGAAATACTTTATATTAATTAATTTCTGCCCTCAACTCTTCCTGAATACCTCCAAGATATTTGATAATCATTATTTTAAATCGCTTGACAGCAGTTGTTTTATTTATTCATGTTTGCCTTCAGAATAATTATCTAACTGCATCGATCTGCCACTGGTGTCATTTAATCCGTTTTAGTACCGATGTGGTACTGGAGAATGCTTTAGCCTGCCCCATTTAACTATCTAGCTTAAAGTATTTACAAAGAATCCAAACGATGGACGCATCACCTAATTAGTGCCAAAAAGAGTGGACCCATAGATTTTTCTCGTAACCATTCGGTTTGGACAGTTGTTTTTTATTATAGATTAAAATTTAGGCCTATGCCTTACATTCCATTTACAGCTCTATCCTCTAATAATTTGTTACTATTTGAATATTCGAAATCTATCGCTTTGTAATTGACCTCATGAATCTTTTGCATGTTTACGAACTTGGTCTTGCATTTACCCTGTTTATTCCCGATGGGAGTTGATTAGTCCTCTGTACATCTAGTAACCAGGACAAATACCGCTCTTTATTTTAATATTCAAAACAGAGCGATAATACTTTAGACATGATTGAAGTATTAACTTTTTATTTTATTTCAGGATGCTACCCTTGACTAAAGACTAAGGAATGGCTTGTTACTACCCCCTAACCTTTGATTGTTTATACATTACTTATGATAAGCTCTCATCCATAAATACTCTCCTACATCCGGTCTTTCTACTTTTATCTGTAACTAACAATTATCTGTAGGCCTGTA